TGCTTCTCCAGAGTCGTAAAATCACTTCACAGATTATAAAGAATCACTTATATTTCACAACCAAAACCTATTTATTAGAATCTACCTACCAGGTACAGCCATAAATAACAAAACGATTCGTACCATAGATAACGTCAAAACATTATTGCAAATCAATTGTCAAAATTACTTGCTTACTTCACATGTATTTTTGATACTATTTTCACGTCATACGGACGCATTGACAAACAGCGCCGCTGGTGGTGAAAAAAAAAGACTTAAATTGTGCATTTTAGTGGACAGGTTTTGTCAATTTTTCCTATTAAGTTCGGGCTCCTTGTGTAGGCTCCATGTACATAATAATAAGTGCCATGATTTTTATAGAATTATTGTTTGACGGATTATTGTGTCATAACCTCATTCGTTGAATTGTCAAGTTGACTTGTTAAATATTAGAGATGGGAATCGGAAAGTTTCCATTTTAAGGAAACTTTCCGTTTTGGAAAGTTTCCAATTGGGAATTTATTTTCATTTTGAAAGTTTCTTTTAAGCTACCGGAAACTTTCCTTGGAGACATTCCTTGGAAACTTTTCTTGTTTTTGTCATTTAAATGTCAATTGTTTAACCGCTGATTTTCGTTAAGGCCATGATACAAGGCCAAGAAACTTTGAATAAGAATTTAATTTGTGTTAATTTAAAGCAGAAGAAGTATAAATAATGTAGGTTATGTTACATAACCTCAATGAAGCCGGATTATTCAGCATCAACACAAAAAACTTTAAAAAAAAAATAAACAAATTTAAAATCATTCTTACATTTTTGTTGTTTATTTATAGGCATAGCACAATGCCAAGAGAAAAATCTAATGTTTGGAATTATTACAAAATAGTGCAAAAAAACAAAAAAGACCATGCTCTCAAGCAAGTTCTGTAAGAAAATCTATGTCGTTAATACAACCAAAAATTTGACAAAAAGTTAATGTGTTATATATTTTTGCAAATCCCTGGCATAAAAAAAATAGTTTCGCAATAAATTTTTTTTTTTTTAAACTTTCGGAAAATTTCGGGAATTTTCGATGGAAAGTTTCCGGGAATTTTCGTCAAATGGGAATTTTCCCATCTCTATTAAATATATAAAACCTGAAAATAACAAGAATCCCGTACAATACTTTAAGATTCCATGTAAGTTGTTATACGCTATTTAATTGCAGACGTAAAAAATACTGAATAATTATAACGCATTTCTTTTTATTAAAGTTGTACACATCATTAATCTTTGTAACTGATTGCTAGACTTGAGATGCAGGTAATATACTTAATACTCGGAAATTCCCTATGTTAATTATTTAACTAGGCTAAAACTTTAAATGCGTAGATTTTTAAGGTCTAAGTAGTTTATGACATCTAATTATCATCCAATCATCTAATTATTCATTAAGTTTTTCCACGTAAAAAGATTATGAAATTTAAATTCAAATTTTATTTGTTTGCTATTACACATAAAACTTACTTTAAAAAAATATATTTAGCAGTATATATAAATACGCATACTGCCACTAATATTAAATACTAAACAACAACTCTTTTAAATTTAAAAAAATTATTTAAGTTTCATAGAAAACGAAAATCAAGACCACCGGTACCTACGGGTTTTGAAATGGAAAGACACTAAAAACGTTTCTGTCTATAGACGTTCTAAAAGCCTTATACCTATCAGGTATTATTATAATACTTGTTTTTTACAGTAATGAAACCCCATTGTTGTATTAATTGTTATAATTGACCAAAAGAAAGGTTAAACTGGAAAGTAATCAAGGATAAAACAAAAACAAAACCAACTAGTTAAACAATATTAAATTAGGTAGACTTTTTCTTCTATTTTAATAAGTCTCAAGTGTGCGCTAAACAATAGATTCTTACGGAAACAATAGATCCATCAAAATATTTAAGATGCTAGATCATAATATATTCTTAATTTTTAATTAAAAAAATCATATTTTATCTAATAAGTATACTTAAATTATAGTTTTATTCTTTGTTCTAGGGCAATGTGTTTATTTTTTATTTGCGTTCTCGATTGTTTCTTTTAATTAATTAATATTATGCTCCACTTGCATTTAATTTAGATTTATTATGTGGGAGATTTAAAAGGATTTATTTGTATAATTCTATAACATTGTGCGACAAAAAAGTTGCGTTAATAACCTTACGTATTAATCTTATATAAATGTAAAATAAATCAATATTATCTACAGTAAAAAATCAACATTGCAACATTTTTTAAACGAAATAAAATAAAAATTTTAATATACAGTGCAAACGTAAAAACGCCCCTTCAATTTTTATTTTTTGGAACCGGTAGATTAGGAATTCCACATTTTAGGCATTAAATACTACTTTTTAACATAAAAAAATTTAAATATTTTTAAAATGGCGTCTTACCGTCATAGTGGGGTCTTGTGACAAATCATTAATGGGTATTTTAAAACTACAATAAACCAACTTATTGTTGAGATTCTATACAGGATTTGTAGGAAATAAGCAATATAAAATTTACATTTAAAACGTGTTATTATTGTAATGACTCCATTTACAATTTTCAACCTTTAGTATGTCACTCTTAGACAACTTTTGGAGAAGAAACTAAACATTTTTAAAATGATAAAAGTGATATTTTTTTTATTTCATCCTGTACAATCAAAAAAATAAGTAGGTAGTACCCTTAAAATACTAGAATTTCAAGTTAAAAAAATAAAATTAGACTCATAAAACTCGATTAAATAATTATAATTTCGGATATACCCTGTAAAGAATTTGGAAACTAATTAGTTGGTTATAATCAGCTTGCAATTTTTTTTTATGACCTGACATGACCCTATGAAAAAAATTAGACCTTTTGACAGTACAAAGCAACTTTGATTTTTTTTAAATTTTTTAAAAGTAGTTTTTAATGTCCAGTTTGTCTAACTAAAATTTTCGACTTCTAACCTACCTGTTCTGAAAGTTACATTGACATTTAAGACAGTACGAGCATTTTAGACAGTTTTAACAGTAGACAGTTTGGGATAGTTTACGATATCCTACGATGTCCTAACACGATTTTAAAATGTTTTTTATAAAATTCGATTATATTTTAAGACGGTTATTATTTATAACATTTTTTAACTAAGATAACTAAGAATTTTTTTTATTTTGAACTACTGTGCGAATTTGTACCACCATTTTTTAAATTAATACAACTGTGCGAAGTTTTTCCATTGACTATTTTAAACTTGAATTAATTTTGTTGCAAAAATGGCGAATGCGCTAGGATGAATTTTGCAATTTCCCAATGTAGGCATTCCACGAAAATTTGATGTTTTTTGTTAAAAATAAACATTTATTATTTAAATATTAAATTTAAAATTTTATTGGCACAAAATAACAAAAACAATAATTATTAAAATTAAAATGTATTATTTATTTATTAACTTTTAACTCGTTTATTTATTTTTGATTCAAAATATAAGTTAATAAGTTGGCTTAGTATTAATGGTCTGGCTCTTATTAAAAACTGTCAAACCTAAAATTTATTGAAATAAGTGTTCATTGTTAAGCTTATTTAACGTTTATCAAAAAAGGTAAATTATTACTTGTTAAATTAATTGTTTTAATTGACTATTTGTCCCACCCTTCACAAAAAAAAGCGAAATAGTTTTGATTTTAATAGAATTTATATTTTTTTTTGAAAGCGTATTTAAATAGCAAATAAAGTCAATAATATCAAATGTTTTGCGGGTAATTTCAAGTCTATTAATTATATTTTAAAGAAAATTGAATTATTATAATTTGTCCCACCCGTCACACTTGTAATTTTTTAAATTAATTTATTTAAAACTCAATGAAAAAAAATTTCATTTTTCGACCAAGAAGTTATTGGAATTTGCATTTGTTTACTTAAAAGTTAATTGACAATAGGATAATAAATAAATAATTTTAAGTTTTTAATATTTTAAAATATAGATATTTAACAATAAATCCTGAAAATTTTATTAATTTATTTTTCACGGTTGATTTGGAATATATGTTTTAATTAAAAGTACTCGAAATTTTGTTGTTGAAATGAAAATTTTGAAATTTTGAATATATTAATAGCTATTTATATACCATGGGAGGAAAATAGTGCTTTTCCTCCCCTGAATAGTTTGATGCCCGACGCAAAGCGAAGGGCATTAAATATTCAAGTGAGGAAACGCATTTTCCTCCTGAGGTATGTATATAGTTTTTTCTATTACCTTTTAACGGACATTTTAAGCGTTCCGGTTCCTTTTACTAACCCGGTATTGGGCTATAAAATTATGACAAAATATTAAGTAGGTGTCCCCGACGTTATGCTGACAACGCTTGGTAATACAAACAACAGTTTTTATAAGCTGTCAAAATGTTTATCATAAATTTGAAATTCTTCCTACGTTTTGAAAATGAGTTCTAGCGAAGAAGACCTACCGCAAGATCTTGCTAAAGAGGCAAGAATTAATTAATTTCCTTTCTTTAAAATCGAAAGAGCGATATGAAAATGAATATAGTTTGTTCAAAGAATGGTTGGACAAGCGGGGAGTAAATCTTTTTCCTACAAAATCAAATAAGGCTAGAAAAGGTACAGAAACTCTTGCTAATGTAAAATTGTTTTAAAAAAAATAGGGAGGAAATTGTTTCCTCCCGGGGAGGAAAAGAGGCATTTTCCTCCCTCGCTCGTGGGTGGAAAATTAAGTTTTCTAGTAAGGTAGTAGAAAAAATATATTAATTTGAATTCCACGATCAAGTGGGAAATGGGGGGTCCACTTGAGCTGATCTTACTCAGTATGGATAATATATGTGGACAATTTTAACATATCCTTCAGTTACCACTAACGACCTTGAGTCATCCGGAGCACACCGCCGCTCGAGCCAGTCCCACCGGAGCCCGCTAGGTGTAGCCACTCGCAACACTTCTTTCATTTCCGCCGCTACCTGTGTATCCTCTGGCTTCGCCGTGGTGGTGGTGGACAAGGCAAGGTTTTATAAGTCCGGTGAACGCAGCTAAAATGCGGTTGGCGCGGTAAAAATAGGGCAGTGCAAAAGTGCTGGTGTGCGAGTACGGATTAAGTACTTTTCGACTGCATCAACTCGTTCACACAAGAGACAGTTTTTTAAGTGCAAGATGGGAGTGACACGGACTCTCGCATCAGGGTTGGCCCTGATGGTCCTACTGCTGGACCTGAGCGAAGCGATCAGGGTGGCCGGGAAGAAAAAAGGTGAGTCTTGAGTGCCCGACCCGGATTTCCGGACTTGAAGGATTAAACGGCCTACTGTGTGATTGTGCTACGGTTTTTAGTGCAGGGAAATGTCCAACATTTTACTGTGGATGGTTTTTTAATATAATTATAGGTTGAGTTTCTTAACTATCTCATGCAATATTGGAAATTTTCTTGAGATTGCCGCATTGTTCTTGCAATATTTGTTGAAACAAGCTTTTTCACACATCAGGATCTTTTTAAATACCTATGTTCTAAAAGTAAAAATTAATTATAGTAATGGAAATACTATATTTTTTGTAAAATTTACCCCACAGAATTAAGAATAAACAATTGTCAAGAACAAAGAATATAATACAAAATTGAAAGTAAATCATTAAATTATACAATACCAACTCAAGTATCTAATTTATTTTTTGCCAATAAATCGTATATCTAGTTGCTATTTAATGCTTGTTTCGACCGTAAATTCTTGTTTTTACGTTTCGTTATACAATCTATGTTTAAGCCATTTTATACTTAAGTGGGTATAAAAAAGTTTATTTATTTAAAAATTAAGGGTATAATAAAGTATATTATAACAGTTATAATAATATAAATCTTAGTATTTTTAATTAAATAACAAAAACTAACTAATAATAAAATTACATAAAACTAAAATACAAACAAAAAATATAACAAAAAAATATATAATATAATATTAGAAAACATATTTTGTGTAAATCATACAAATAAACGAAAATATGTAAATAAAATATACAAAAACATATTATATTAAAAAAATTCAAAATTGATAATTTAAAATATTACATTACATATGTATCAAGTTTGATAAATGCCATTTTAGTCAAAAATTTAATTTAAGCATGAGGGGTTTGCAAGCGATTGCTTAATTAAATGAGTGTCTAGAAAATATTTATAAACGAGTTGCATACTATACTTTTTCTACGACAAATACTTATAGTTAAATAATAAAACAATAAACAAAAATAGAGTACCACCCGAAATTTTGATGCTTTCAGTTATATCTTGTTATTTTGCAAAAATTCTATAAAACCTTAAATTTAATTTGGTGGAATTTTACTTTAGTCGTTGGTTTGACAGTTAATGTCAAAATCGATTCGCCATGCCGTCCTTAATTTACTTATTTACAATAAGCGGCCTTTAATGTTAAAGAAAAGGAATTTCTTTGATGTTAAACAAAATTTATTGCCAGAAAAGTCTCGTAAGTAGGTACTAGAAAAATCATAAAAATATTATAACCAATATGTATTATGCTTTTATAACCAACCTATAAAATCAAAATTCAGCACCGAAAGCGGTGTTATAATGAAGTCATTATGAACGCAAAATAGATAAACTATGTTTTATAATTATTAAAAATAGAAAAAAAATGTCACAAACGAAACATACAAATTCATACCATTTGTAAACCATTTCGGTAAACAAACAATAGGTTTATAAGCTTCATACAAAAATGCACTAAAAACATATACATTTCATTAAGGATCTATTCCGCGATAAACATTTCAAAATAATAAAAGATTATTCAAACATAGATTTTAAAGTTGCTTAGTAAAGTCATTTATTGAAAGTGAGTTTTCTGCATTTAATTTGAGGAGATAAAAATTAGAGTATTTTGATTATTGTTAAACAATTTGTTTATCAAACTTTTATTGGAAATATTTTGTATTCTCCTGTTTTTTTTATTAATGTTTTACGCGCTATTTTCAACAAAATACTTTAATTTGATGTTTGTAAGAATAAATTGTAATACATAATTATAATAATGGCAATATTCAAAAGCTTTCCAATGGGATATGGATATGGCTAAAACTTAACAATTAAGCAAAATTAAATTTTAAATATAACAAAATGTTGTTAATTTTTTATATAAATCTCATATAAATATACGTACAAATATATAACCAAACATAACAAATTTTAATCAATTTTTTACAACTTCACAGTCGATTAGCAAATGCAATAACAGCTTTTAAGGCAAGCATTTAAAAAAACAACATTATTAGTCTTATTTTTTGTCCCTATAATGTGACAAATCGAGATCAAAGAATTCACTTTCATTGTATTTCGTCTAGTGTACGCTTAAGGCCATGTCTAGGCATTGGAAAGGAGGGCCTACATCTGTTACACAACGTAACGGACTGCAAAATTCTTGTTTTTATACTTTTCTATACCAAATACGTGTCACCTGGTTAAATTAACAGACCGACAAGATTTTATTTTAAGACTTTTTATGTTACAAGCAGTCGCCTCTGCTTGCCTTTGCATTCCAAAAACTAGCTGTACATTTTGAGATCCACTCAAATACGATACTGTTATATGGAAGGTACGTCTATTAGTTTATTAATTAATGTGGGACTAAACTACTTTCTTAATAAAAGTTTCTACTTCCTATAAAACGCACATGTTTCCATAACTCTAAGCGATCTTTTAAATACACATTGAGAAGATGATACATTATCGCGTTTTAGTCCCGTGCTGAAGTTAGCAGCAGTTCCTTTCTTGTGAAATAATAATCTTGCAGCAATATTTATTGCATGCAAGTTGTATTGCTGATTATAATACACTTTGCAATTCCAATTCCAACTTGCATGATACCAATCGACTGTCTTAAAATGAATTAGTCAAAAATAACTTATTATAAGTCATACTTATTTGACTAGTTGTCATGGCGAAAAAGCAGTCACTAATAATTAGTCAAATTTTACTAAATGAAATAGTCAAATTATTAGATTTAAATTTAAAGAAGTTTTGACCCAGCCGGGGTTTAAACTCGGGTCTGTCGCTTGTCAAGTTTGATGCCATAACCAATGCGCTATTAGTCACTTTTATAAAAATCAATTTTATTTGTCTATAAATATTGTTAAATATATTTTTTGTGTTGCTGTTTTGAGCTAAACTTTTTGCATATTTGTTTGTTTTTATGGCCCATTTAATCATGGATCCTGTATGCATGTATGCATTTAACTCAAACAATAATTTGTTGTTGACTGCAAACGATTAAAGAAATTACTTACTTTTAACTCAAAATAGTCAAAGATTGTGACTTATCTTAAACTATTTAAGTAGTAAATATCTATTTAAAAGTAAAAATGACTATTTTTTTTAGTAAAATATGCTGCTAATTTTAAGTTTTATATTTTACTTCCTCTATTCAAAATTTTACCATTTGAATTAGTACCAGCATATTTTACTAAAAAATAGTCATTTTTAATTTTATAAAGAACAATTTAAAAAACTTGGGTCCTCCACTCGACATTATAATATATATCAATAACTTTTTGCCAAAGTATCTCAAGCAACATAACCCAAATTTCGGGAATTGAAAACATTTTGCTTGTCTGTTTTAAATTAAATATAGCCTAAAGATTTTATAACAATTAATTACTTAACTTATAATTATAACTATTTACTTGTTATAAAAGATAGCTTATATCACAATCCACACAACAAGGTCTGTTCTATCTCATGCTAAAAATACTAAAAATCACTGTAACACTGCACAGAGTTTAACGGCGGCCATTTTTGTTGTTTACAATTCTTGTGCTTTGGGTTTGTGCTGTTTAATAATTGTTTTAAACGTTGGGTTTCTTACAGAGGCACTTGTAAGCCTCAAATAAGGCCTTTAAGTGCTAAGGACAACCATTTTACTCCTCTTTTATAATAAATATACCTTATTCTATCAGGGCTGTCAAATGACAATTTGAAGGTTTATTTGTGGGCTATAATTTAACCTTAAAATTGAAATTTGACAGTTTTATGACAGCCCTGATAGAATAAAGTTTATTTTTTACAATAGAGGAGAAAAATGTTGTTCTTAGCACTTTAAGGCCTCTTTTAAGGCTTACTATGAGAAACACAACGTTTAAAACGATTATTAATCTGTATAAACAGAGCACAAACCCAAAGCACAAAAATTGTAAACAAAAATGGCCGCGGTTAAACTGTGCAGTGTTGCAGTGATTTTTTGTATTTTTAGTACGAGATAGAACAGACCTTGTTGTGTGGATTGTGGGTTATATATGGTTTAAAACAGACTTTAAAACAAAAAATGTTTTCAATTCCCGAAACTTAAGTTATGTTGCTTGCGATGCCTTGTCAGAAAGTCATCGATATTATGTAATTAAATTTAGAATCAAAGAAACAACAGATAAATGACTTCAAAAAACAAACTAGCATTTCTAGGGAATTAAAAGTGTGGATTGGTATAAAAAAAGTTACCAACTTTTTCCCCAGACTTGCAAGCAACCAGAAATAAAAATCGAGCAGGACCGATATATTAAAACGCAATTGCAAAAATACAAAAATTATTAAATAGTTCCTTGTCGCCAATCTTTTAAAAGTTTATATGCATGTTTGTACTGACCTTTTGATTTCGCCAGTAACAAGTATTTGCTGATAAAGCATTAATAATTTATGGTGTAGTTCATATCAAAAGTTCCTCTTCACTTTCACTGTATAAGGCTGCTTATAGGATTTATAAAGTTGCTAGCTTATTTTTAAGGGAAATTCGACAAACTGACACTGACATTTTAAAAGCCGGTAAAACAGATTTCTAACACCAATATAAATAATTAATATTTCGATTTGTTAGTTTATTCTGCAGTTGGTAGTACCGAAGTCAACTTAACCTCAATTTTCAACGCAAATAGTACATCACAGAATTATAAGCATCAAATATCCAATCTTTGTCTAACCTGGAGTCTTATTTTTAAAATGTAAGTCTGTATCATAATATTGCTTATTATGATACACCAGTAGAAATAGGTAATTTTATTTTCATTTTTTTACTTAAATTTTAATTATTGTATACGGCCTTCAAATCATAAAAAAACTAAAATTAAATTAAACAAAATTTGCCTTTATCAAAAATAATCCAATTCGTTTACCCTGTTTTATATAAAAGTATACTACCTACTAATTTATAGGACATACAGTTAATATTAATATAAATAAATTATGTATAAGCATTAATA